AGCGGGCGACTTCCGGAACGCCTCATGTATATACGTAATCCTTTATTCCTTTGCAGCGGAGAACACGTGTCGCGAAACGTTGATTACAGATCGGTCGCTTCCGCCTTCGGCGGTGACAATATCGGATGAATATCGATGTGACGTGACTCGATTGCAACGGAACACCAAGGTAGAAAAATATATTTCCCGATTTCAGCTAATGGCAGAAAACGAGACGTACACTCCAACCCAAGTGTATAATAAGTGACTTTTGGGAAAGACCGATTTTGCTGGAGTATCTAAAAATTTAGGTAGATGCAGATCTGAAAATAATTTTGTTGGACTATCAAAATAATTATGTAGAAAATTTAAGCAAGCTAAGCAATGCTGCAAAAAGTTTTGATATTCAAGGAATCAGCCTGAGAATTCTACATACAGTTACAACAAAATTATTTTCAGATCTGTATCTAGCTTAAATATTTTGGCAAAACCGTTCTTTCCGTATGACATCACTTATTACGTACTTGAATTTGCAGTGTAACTGTCATAGTCGTAGATATAAGGTAAGACAGAGAAAAACGTGTACGTAACCGCATCCACAACAGCCTCTCATGACTTATACGTTTTTTCTGCATTACGTCCACGACTATATCGGTTGCATCTCATTCTCTGTCACTGTAGTTTTCTTACTTTGCAAAATTTTGCACGTTAATCTCACGCAATCCGCGGTGGTTTTACCGATAAAAAAAGCAACTGAGTATAGCTGGGATATCCGGAAAGCCCAGGGGGCATCGATTTCGCAGGTAGATCCGCACGCATGATCGATTCCGCGCGCGAACATAGGCCAGATGGAGTGAATAGACGACGACGAATTTGTCGATGTACACGAAGATCCCGTGACGCAATATTCCACGCCGTTGGTTTCCGATACCGATGTAAATAATCTGGCGTTACGTAAAGCCTCGCCAACCGCATTACCGTATTGAAGTATAGAGGCGAGAGATAACCTGATCGCGTCGATAGCTCGACACGAAATATTGGATTTGCTCTCCTCGTTTCATTGCAAGTTGACGAGGTTTTAAACCGACTCATGGCTACTCGATATTCGAACTGTTTATAGAGCTCTCAATAATGAAAGACGCTCCGAAATAACGGAGAATAACAACGTAGTCGCGAAAATGTCGACATCATGCTTATCAATAATGTAAAGGTATTATAACCGAGACACCGCCGCGCGAAATTTATGGAAAAGAATTCTCGGCACTTTTAAATATATCACGTCTTGTTTGCGTAAAATTTATATTCCCCGATAAAATTTTCAGAGCTTAATTTCACGAACAGAAGCGACAAGCAAGAAAATGTGAAAAATATTTAATCGTTAAACTCTCGGTTATTCTCGACGACCATCTAATATGTATAACACTCGGACGGTTTAAAGGTACACAAGTGAGTTGAGAGGAGATATGTCGTTCGACCGATTAAAAGACACCGTGATTTATACAGCCCCATGAGGAATGTTGTAACGTAACGAGCGCAGTTAACGGCTCGCGGGCTAAGGATTCAGACCCAGCACGACGATCGACGCGGGAATTGCCGGTTGCATGTGGGACGATAGCAAGGGACACACCTTACGATCACTGCGCTTTATTATGTACTAATTCTCGAGATTCCTGAGAGGTGGACTGTCCTTCTTGCATTGTCGAAAAGACCTTTCTACCGGACGTTTTGGTCGATTTCACATCGACGCGTCCCTGAATGAGGATGAGAGGAGGAAAGTGTATGAAATCGGAATCAAGACGCGCCGTCGACAGAACGTGACTCGTCGTCTAAGGCTGACAATGGAGCTTCTCAATCCGATAAAAGCGTTCCTGGCTGTCGCGTTGATTCGCATCGATCCGAGTGACGGCAATGGTGATTTGTCAACGGTGAGTGGATCGTCGAAAATACAAACGGATCGTCTTCAGTCCCGTGATTGAAAGCTGGATTACGTTTTCGTCATCAATAGGGTGTTATAATAATTGAATTGTACCTTAATCAGGATTTTATTCAGTATACGCTAAAGGCAACTTTGCCGTAGGGCGAACTAAGCGAACACTTCAACCTTACTAGTGCAAAGACCTCAGTGGATCGCGATAAATGCTCTCCTTAGGCTAAATTGAAACAAGTGATTTTTTTCTGCGAGGTTCATTGCGAGGGCCTTACACGCGTAAGGGTCTCACGCCAGGGCACAATAGCCACTTTCCATCCTGAAACCTCGTTAGTTTTAGAGCCGCCTCTGGTCATAGCTTCTTGTAAGCGATCAGTTAACCGTCACTTTAAGCGACTCCTTCTTGGAATCGATTCTATTAAGTTATTACACTGTTGCTATTGCCATGCTGCGCTGCATTGTGATTTTATGTTAAAATGGCTCATGATGCTACCTTTCAAAAAAATTAAATAGAAAAATCAGATAATATCAAATTATACCGATACATGATCGAATTTTAAAATTTGTAATAACTCTACTCTCTAAATCTTTTGGAGTGAAATCTCACTCCAAAAGACTGAAAATTGTGCCAATCTTGAAAAAAGAAGGAAAATATTTCCACTCTTGAACAAAAGAATGGCAGATTTTATATAGGAGTGAGATTTCACTTTTTTGGAGTGAGTCACTCCAAGGAATGAAGCCTCACTCCAAAAAAAAAAGAGTGTGGTTCCATTTCTTTGGAGTGGATCTCACTCCAAAACAGTGAAACCTTATTCTAAAATGAAACCCTGCCACTCTCATTCAAGAGTAAAAAATTTTCTCTCTTTTTTTAAGACTGACTTACACAATTTTCATTCCAAAAGATTTAGAGAGTGTGTAATATCGAGAAATTAATAATTTCCAATACTATATAGAATCTAAAATAGAATTTATTTTCAATGTTATATTGGCGGAAATTATATAAATACTATTGTTATCGCGCTTACAATGCTATTCCGTTTGCTGATCACCGTTTGGTCATCATCTTTTATGGACGCGGATTATTGCTCTCGAAAATAAGGTTCCTTCGATTACCCCATCAAAGTTTTTGTTAAAATCTAATTCAGGGCGGCACCTGCGTTTAATACGAAACGTTATACGGGATCGCGGCTTCATTTCACCTGTAATAGAATTCGAAGCGCGGACTACACGTCGACTTACGAGCGCATCCGAGACGGGTATTCCTTGCAACGTCGCCGCCGCCGTCATCGTCGCTTGCCAGCTGCAATTTCGTGCATGTTCGAAATTGCGCGATCGACCATACGGAGCGAGTAGAGTACAAGCAATCGGACGTTGGAAGAAAAATGCGATTGAATTCTGGATGCTGCGTCTCGCCGCGCCGCACCGGCAATACAATGTCATTAAACGATCCCCGGCGGGCGGCCGTTCCCCGTAAGCGAGACGAAATGAAAAAGGCAAATGGATGCACCGTGCGCCCATTATTACTATTGGCATACGGGATATAGCCTCGGTCGTGCAGCATGGTCAAGGGTAATAGTTATTTCCCGCGCCGCGCTCATGGCTCTCTCGTTCTCCATGGCAAGCCATGAGATAAATCGGCCACGGTCTCGCATAATCGCGGCGAATCTCTCCCCGAGTCGAGGACGCGATCGATCTCTCTCCCTCTCGATTTGGATTAAGCCACCCGGTGCTGCAGCAGGTGCGGCTCATTTGAATATTATGTGGAACAAATGACCGACTTCTGATCCGTGAACGCTGCTCCTTCTAGGGAGTCTCCGCGCGCTTCGCCACGAGGAATAGCGTTCCGCGTCGATGCTCTAGATCTGTAGACTGCAAGATGATTCATGTGCAAAGTTAATGTTCGCACTTAACGTTTTATGTAAATTTTTGCCCGACTTTACGTCACGCATCGATTTGTGGAAAATGTGAAAGAAGTATCATATAAACTTGTACATTAACCTGGGATGATAGCGAAATATTTTTCGGCTCATTTCGCTTTCCATGCTTCTTTATAATACAAAAACTTTTGATGAAATTTTAAAATAGTTTTGTTGTAAAACACATTTTCTTAATGTGCTTCAATGAGGAACAGCGAATAATACGAGGTTTTATTAAAAGATGGGATTTATGAGATCTGCATGCCGCGGAAAGTTATGTATGCATTTTTTCAGTTAACTGCGTCGTAATTTGTAGCATATATGTTGCAATATGCGTTCTAAGATGTATATATTTTATGTGGTACTTTCGGAAGCTTTCTTATACGATACTTCTGGCGTAATAAAAGTTACAACGGGTTACCTTTATTTAGAGCGCCACTTAAGTGGTCCTGGTCCGTTATTGCATAAATAGGGTCACCGAAGAGAACGGAAGACAAGAAGAAAGAAACAAAGTTTCTCTCGGGGCGACTCGACGGTAGAACTGGTACTCGATCGTGGTGTGTGTGTGTATGTGTGTGTGTGTGTGTGTATGTATGTGTGTATGTGTGTGGATAAGAAATAAAAAACGGATGTTTGTTCCTTTCGTGCACGTGGCAACTATTGAAAATGTCAATATGATCGTGACGCGTCAAAATCGCAAGATTAATGGCGCGTTATCACCGTCGATTTTCATGCGTCATTCAAGTTTTTATTTATGAGCTTTAAGAAATGGATGAAGATATTTTTATTAACATCTTCTAGATGCATTTTTCATCGCTAGAAATGGAAAAAACAGAGTACGATAGTAATGATAAAATAAATAAATTGCAGAAGTATACAAGATTTCACAAAGAGAAATAAATAATAGTGAGGAAATATTATTTTTCATTAATTATTCAAGAGGAATGAAAGAAATTCTTTTACTGTATATATAATAATGAAATGAAATAAAAAATTTACAAATGCAGTTATAACGAAAATTTGTGAACATACTTTGATCATGTTGCACAGCCAGCTAAAATTTTTCGAAATACGAAAGATACAAAATACAAATTCCTTGATTCATAGTTGAAATCTTTGACGCTGAAAGTTAATTTGCATTTACCTCGTCACTTTACGTGCAAATTATTTGGTTACAGGATCGGGCGAGGAACGTCTCCGAGAGATTCACATCCACGACCACGTTGACGGTGAATATACGAGACGATGATGATCAAGATCCATCCTTTATTTATCAAGGCTGTATGCTTTTGGATGGCGCTTGCATCAATCCAGAATACTCCGCGTCGGTACGTAAATTGCGATTATAAAAAAAACTACGATATTCTCCAATTCAAGCATGTATCAACACCGGAGAATTATTTTAACGGGCGTTTCTCTGCCGTTTTATTTAAAATAGTATTGAAAAATTCAAGTGTAATCGAATACGTCTGTCTAATCGACCGTCAATATCTCACAGCTCAAATTCACATAATCAATAAATCGGTGCAACCGGTTCTGCAAGAGCGATTCTCTTTTTCTCTTCATCAGGTTTCGAGCGGAGTACTATCTGGCATACTCAATATCTCACCTGAGAAAATACAAGCGGTCGACATGGACAGCATAAACGCGCCGATTCACTATTCTTTCCTCAGCGGAAATCCGCCGAATTATCGGGATTTCTTCGAAATCAATCCTAATACCGGAGCGGTGAAGCAAATCAAAGCCGTCGACACGACGGTAACCAAGAAGTTCGATATTATTATTAAGGTAAATATCAACATTATATTTTATGTGAAAACAATGTTTAAATAATTTGAAATAAATTGGAATTATTTCGAAAAACTATAAATAGATGATAAAGAATATAAGGAAGTTTATAAAGAATCGTTGTTCATGAGCTATAAGCTATAAGTAATGTAAGTACATTCTAAAAGATATGAATATGGATTCGACATTATATGGATGTTTATGTAATTTTCATCGTGTTAGATATAAAAATCAAAATGGATTCAACATCATAAGTTTGGATTTAACAACATGATGTAAACACCAATATAGTGCTAAATCTACACTCTTGATGTTTGTATCAACGCCAACACGGTGAGAATTATATTTAACATCCATTGTGTTAAATCTACAGCTACACCTATATTTTTTAGAGTGCAGTTGCCCTCAATAATTTTTAACATAATTAATCGACTTTTTTTTACACTAAAGAGTATTTGAAAAAATAATACAAAATTCTTTGTCATACGCGTAACTTAAATATTTTTTTTCAAAATTTTAAACATGTATGATAACGGCATTTTCTTCTTTTCTCAAGGCGGTTGAAGTGTCGGAAACGAAGCGGTCTGCTACCGCTAAATTAGCAATCACCGTCAAGCCGGTCGACAGTAATCCACCCGTTATAACGGCGTCAAACATCGAAGGTTTCGTCGATGAGAATGCTCCTATCGGCACAAAGGTCATCGATGAAAGCGGGAATCCCATTGTGCTCACCGTGTCGGATGCTGATCTGGTGAGTGTAGCCACGTAGATTCCATCGATTTCTGTTTAACAAAGCATGACCGAGGTGCGAATTGACCGTTTAATTGTCTCTATTATTAGAGGATAAGATCTGTGATGGTGAAATTCGTGTCACCTCTATATTTGAAGTCTGCACCTGCTTCTTTTTCCTTTTGTTAAAAAAAAAAATCCGTTTCTGTATTCAGGGACCAGACGATCCAAAACCGGCGTATACTTTCGAACTGACCACAAATTTCTTTGCGATCGATTCGTCCGGTGTTCTTGTCGTGAACGAGGAGAATTTGGACCGAGATCCTCCGAGTCCCGGCCGCTTTCGGTTCCAGGTTGTCGCCCGGGAGAAAACGGGTGTGGCTGCGTCGTCACCTCTATCGTTTGTCGTAACGTTGAACGATGTTAACGACAATGCGCCTCTGCTTCCGATGATGGCTCCCATCACCGTTCAAGCGGGAGAGACGAAGAGACAAATAGCAAAGGTGGCTTCTAATGCTTTTTTATTATTTTTATATACAACTTTGTATGTCGAGAATAATAATAATTGCGAGTAATTTGTACTTTTTTATATTTAATACTTTTGAGTACTTATCTTAATTGTCATGTCATTTAATTTACTGCTTGTCGGTGCTCTATAATTCTTTCTCGCGCTTAAGAAGATACGAGACTCTAAGAGAATTTAATTTCTGATCTCGCTCAGGTGGAAGCCACGGACAACGACGAGGGTGAAAATGCTGAGATAACGTACAGTATTTATCACGTGTCAAACAACGGCTTGCATAAATTCAAGATAGATCCAAAGACCGGAGTTATCGAGTCCGTGAGGAAACTTAACGCTGGCGAACAGTACAGCATCACAGTGCAGGCCACCGACAAAGGTGGCAAGTACTCGCAGACAATCGTCGAGGTGAATGTCATTCCCGGGCCCAACACCAGAAGCCCCGTGTTCCAGCAACCGGTGTACGAGGTGCAAGTCAGCGAGGGGGCCTCCATCAATTCCACAGTTGCGACTATCACTGTGAGTATCCTTGATATGATGTCCTTCTCGTCGGCGTTTTATTTTAAAGCTTCAACTCTGCTCTGACAGAAGCACAGTATCCGCTCGATATGTACTTCATTGTTTTTTTTCCTTTCGTCTTTCTATCGCGTTGATGAAGCATTCGATCTATGCTTCATTCTTCTATTTATATTAGTTTTCTTTTGGCTTATATAAAAAACATGTTTCGTAATTAATTATTCTGTATCAGAATGCGAATCTCTCTTCTTTGAATTCTACGAAATCGATCCGAATTGTCTTTTTTCTTTTTAAAACAATGGATCTTTAAATGATTGTAATCGTAATATAGCGTTATCAATAAACGTTACAGGCCACTGATCCAGAAAACGATCCGGTGTCGTACTCGATAGTATCGGGAAATGACTTGCGCCAGTTTGCGATCGGCGACAAATCAGGCGTTATTACCGTTATAAGGAAGTTGGATAGGGAGGACTTGACCCGGTATCAGTTGGTAAGTCGATATCGTCAAACACCGTAGCATGAACTTCCTATACCCTCTACTACAAGCCAATGCACTTCTTGCTTTACACCACTTTCTACCGATAGCTTTTATCTAATCTAAGGAAACATCGATGAGTCTCTTCCTCCATTTGTAAACAAGTAGCGAAATCGAAGCACAACAACATTGTTAACTTTGAGCATATATATAATCTGTTTACATACTTTAAATAGAAAGGTAGAAATTTATATTTTAAATATTCATAGCAAATAATTTCTGCTATATTCAATTTCTTAAAGAAAAGAATTTCTCGTAAAAGAATTATATATTAAAAATAAAATCTTATTGATTGGCTCTCCATGTACTTTTATTGTTGAAAGCCGTTATTACCCATGTTTCGTTAAATTGGAATAAATTAAAAATGGAGTGTAATGCTGTGATATTGTTGATTTATGTAGTTAATAAAGGCCGAAGATACCGGTGGTCTCTACAGCACCGCGACGGTCAATATCATGGTTACCGATATCAACGACAAGAATCCCGAATTCGTAGGTCTTCCTTATGAATTTACTGTCAAAGAGAACGAAGCGCGTAAATTAATTGGTCGCGTGCATGCCGAAGATGCCGACGAAGGTATAAACGCCGAAATCACTTATTTCGTACCTGACGATATTCCGTTTACCGTGGATCCCGAGACTGGTGATGTCCTGACGAAGATAGTACTGGATTACGAGCAGAACGATGTGAGTGATATTTCTATTGTTCTTTCAGTTTTTAATGTAAAACATTAAAATAATATAAACTTATATTTATAACTTTTAACAACGTTAATTAGAAAATTCATATAAGTATTTTTATCCTGCAATTTATTGAGAAAATCATTTTGGGATATTTTGACTATTTCGAGCTAGAGAATTATTGGAGATAATATATTGGAGAAATTTTAACTGTTAATGAATTTTTCATTCTGAATGAATTTGTGAAAAGCTGCATCAAATAATGCATAAGAGCTTATTAGACTTTTCAGGATTCTGGGAATGTTCTTCAGTTCTGCAAAAGTTATAAACTGCGAATACAACTCGAGAATGTCTTACAACGAAACAGTTTAGCTTATACTCGGATTACGAGAATGTCGTCACAGTTAAATTGCAATTGTACTGTTATGTGCGCTTGAGACAAAGAGAATGTGCAAACTGCGTATCTGAGTTAAAGTCTGCAGGATTTTCATTCGTAGAAATGCATTGTGTAGAAAAACCTAATGATATAATAATTTCATGCAACGTGATAAAAACTTTTAATTAATCATGTTGTAAAAATTGTCGTTAACATCGTTTTGAGAATATGGTTGTGCATTGCATAAAAACTTTATATTTTATTCTGACGTTCTCTTGAATTTCAGAATTAAATTATAAAATTTCCACACAACACAATTCTCCAAGAGATGTCCTCAGGACGTCACTCGAAGAGCTGTATTGTGTCGGTTAAGATCGATAGATCTCTTTTCTAATTATGCATTTGTTGGATGTAATAAAATACGGTATTTGGATGAATTGCGTAGGAATACAAATTCGTAGTGACTGCAAGGGATGGAGCTCCCGATTATCGTTTGGCAACTGCGACAGTCACGGTGAAAGTCATAGATGTCGAGGACGAGGTTCCGGTCTTTCACCAAAGCAGTTACGAGGCACGTGTCAAGGAAAACGTGCCAGATCATAATGTAATTCAAGTCACGGTGAGTCGCTTGTCAGACCGCAGTAATACTATTCATAATAGCGTTTGTTCTCGAATGTAAAGCGAGAGAAGTGCGATTAAAAGAGATTAATCCGTCTATTCGCATCAGTTCCTGTAGATTTAATTTAATGAAAATTGAGACTCTCGTGCGGATGTTGATCGTTTAATGTGGATTCCAATACAAAATGTTCGCGTTAAGATAAAGCGTCTTGACTTGTTCGCGTAACATGCCGAGTGTGAAATTAGTTCCGAAATGGATCATAATAAGGGATGTAATTTCATCGAGGATGAGCGACGAGATTCGCTCGAGAAGTTTCAAAAGTTCATTGGATAATCGAGACGTACACTCGTTCCGACTCGAGAGATATTCGTGTTACTCGCGTCGTCGACGATTCCCATCCCCGTTGACGAGGTGGAAAGGATAGTGCGTCCTGGGACGGTCGTCTTATTCAGGTTTTGAAGCTAACGCGATTACTTCTAGGCCGATGATCCGGACACAAAGAAGCAAATTACGTACATGATCAAGCAAGGGGATACCGAACTCTTCAGCATAGACCCGAAGACTGGAGTAATAAAAACTATCCGCGGTCTCGATTACGAAAGCCAGAACCAGTACGTACTTATCATAGGCACCGAGGAGAATACCAGCGATCTACCTGGCTCCACTACCCGCGTTGTTATTAATGTTCAGGTATTTTTTATGAGTGTCTGAATCTTTATTTATGGTAGTTGTCAATATCCATCATCGATTTACTATTATCGTTGGCGCATCATATAGTACACATGAATGCCTTTTAGAATATCATATTATATAGCCAGTTTAAACTACTATCGATTTTTATTTATCATATTTGAGAAGAAATTATGTAAATAAGATTTTATTTTAGTAAAATGAATTGTCGTTTCTAATTAATGATCTAGAAGATCTTAAAATTAAATAAAATAATTAAATACAAATTTAATTTAACTATTTTATGTAATATTTGACATTTCATAATTAAATAAAATACAATTAAATAAAATATGTACCTGACATACCTGGTTCATCTGCATTAATGCATAATCTCTAGTTAAAAGTTAAAATGTTAAAACGGGAATTAATTGCCTGTCTCAGTCATGGGAATTAATCCATGGGATCAATTTAACGGAACCGGTTCAGGTTGATCGCATTAATATCATAATCAACGATCACCCTATCATTTATCATACTTCGAGTACTTTTAATTTAACTGTATCTCCTTACTCGACGGATTAATAACATTTTAAACGCGTCATGGCAGGATGTGAACGACATTCCACCGGTATTTACATCGGTACCACGTCCGATTACACTGGACGACGATGTTCCTATAGGAACGACAGTAATTGATCTTGTTGCTGCAGATTCTGATGGAACCGCTCCGGGAAATCAGGTAGGTGTATTGATTTCTTTCCAGTACTTGATTTCTTCTCCGTTGAATAAACAAGGAGATGGATTTTCTGGTATCCGTAGGTTCGTTACGATATCATCGGCCGCGGCATCGCCAGCAAGTATTTCGTAATCGATCCCGACACCGGCGTACTCCGAGTACGAGATGACTTGCGCAAGGAGACCGACTCCGAATATCAGGTATTTGATCCTCCGTATATAACTCGACGCCGCACGTTGCTCGCGACCTGGCTCATCTATAACGAGATAATTCTTTTTTTTTTTTCAGATCGACGTGCTAGCATACGATATGGGAGATCCGCCATTGTCGTCCGAGACCACTGTGACAGTTTACGTACGTCACGTGGCGACGGTTCCGCCGGAGATCGGTTTGGGTTTCGCGGAGAACTCGTATAACGTCGAAGTGCCCGAAGACGCGGGCGACAACACGCTAATAAAGATAATCACTATCATCAACAGTCACGCGTACAACACCACGCCGCTCAGGTGTGAGATTTATAGCGGCAATGAAGAAGGCCTGTTCGAAGCGAACGTCACGAAAGAGCGAAATTGCGCGCTGAGACTGAAGAAAGGAGCGCTGGATTATGAGACGACAGAATCTTACCAGATTAAGATCAAACTGGAATCGCTCTCAGGCCTTTTAAACTCAGGCAGAAATACGACGATGGTAAAGAGGCGACAGAACTTGTCGGTGTTTTTATTCTGTGTGAAACGAGAATCTTTATAATCCAAATAAAATATTATATAGCTATTAGTACGAATAGATATATCAAAGATAAAAAAATTAATACATATGGAACACATAAAAAGGCTTAGTTACCTATTCAGATGTAACTTAAGTATTATTGCTTCAATTACAAATCTTTATGTAATAAAAGTTTCTATTCCAATACTTTATATGCAAAAACTTTAAATACAAAAGATATAAATCCACAACTTTTCTTATCTCGTCTAATCTAGCAAAATTTAATTTTAAAACATTAAAATTTATACTCCTGTAAGAAAAGAGAAATACGTAAAGAATCTAATTTATGTAAAACTCTAATTTATGTGAGATAACTATTGGAGCAAGATTATCAATTCTCATTTTTCTCTAATAAAATTGCAGGTAAAGATCCAGGTGCTGGATGTAAATGATAACAAGCCCGAGTTTACTTTCCCGGAGGCGAGTCAGAAGCTTACGAGGGGACGTTACTTTGCGGCGATTCCGCGCACCGCGCAATTCGCGTCCACCGTCATACAAGTGAGGGCTGCCGATAAAGATAATGGCAAGTACGGCAAGCTGGAGTACAAAATCCTGGAAGGGCGAGGTTCCAGTTACTTCGCCATCGACGGCTCCACCGGTATAATCAGGACAACGGCGACGTTCGATCACGTGGATGCATCCGAGCTTCCCTTCAAATTTGACGTTAGCGTGCGCGACAATCCTAACTCGGATGACAACTACAATTCGATTATCGCGCCAGTGATCGTCAATCTTATCGAGGAAGAAAACCTGATGATCCTCGTGGTGCAAGATGCGGCGCCGGACGTATTGCAAAAAGAAACTGATAAAATAGCGAACGTAATAGAACAGAAGAGCGGCCTGCTGATCAGAACTGACAGAGTCGCGGTGAGAAAAGTCCTCACGAAGAATGGCACTATCGAGACGTTCCCGCAGGACTCCGACGTATGGTTCTACGCGATCGACCCGGACACTGAAGCTATATTGAACAGAAACAGTACCAAAGTACAAAGGTAAGTCTTAAAGTGCGCCCTTTATATAATTATTGGAAGTGATTGATTTTTTATTTGAATATTAAAAGCACATTGTTCAATGTTTAAATTAATAAATGAATAATTATTTTAAATTGAATTTCTGTAAGACATTGATTTAAAATAATATACAAAAATTCCACAAATCGAATCTTGTTAACAAATTTAAACATTATTATTTATTCGGATTTTATGTTAACTAGAAGATTACGTTTTGCAGTCTAAGTTTTATTGTAATATCACTTTAACTCTATTTTTGTATTAAATACGCTGAAGCCACACGATGTCTCACATTTATTTGTAGAAACAGTATTACGTAATTACTGCAATGCTCACGTTGCAATGTGCTTTTAAATACCTACTTCCGTAAATGAAATGGAATATTACTAAATTGATTTAAAATATTTCAGAATTAATGGTTATGCAACAAGAAATTGCTAACAACTTTTTCTTTAATGACGTTATAATAATTGATAAATTAAATATTTAAATAGAATTCTTTTTAAATCTATTATTTTAACACAATTTCAACTAATTGTTTTCTTGATTATGATTTTAAATTCTTTGTAAATACAGCATATTCAAATTGCTAGAAGTCTCTTAGTAATTTTTTTATTTCTGAACAAAATTTGAGCTTTATTGTAATTTAAATTAATATGAAATTAAATTGAATCTGAACGACTATCCCGTTTAATAATAAAAAGAACGTTTTTTGTACGAGTGTCAAAAGGTCAATCATAACTTTTGATTAACGTAACATTTGATCGTGGGCAAATATTAAAAGCACCGAAATTCGACAGATCTATCATGGATAAATCAGCTGTGTCAAATATCACCTTTGACGTGTCTACGTTAGTGCGAGCAAATGCCATCGACATTCATGCACCCGTGATGCCACCCGAGCCAGTACGAACACAAACAGCGGTCGCATTCAGCGGCGAGGTATTCCCGTACGCGCTGATCATCATCGCATGCGTGATTTTGATCCTCGGCATTGCCGGTATCATATACATATGCGTCTCCTGGTCCAAGTAAGTGTTCTGATTTTAATGCTAAAACCTTTTAATATTGCGCCAGTTAAAATAAATCGACAAATACATTTATAAAAAGATAATTAATGAGGAAGCTAAGATGCAACACGCGATATAATTACGGTTTATTAAAGATTATTAAAGTAATAAACAATTTAAATTAAACTTCTACACAAAAAAACCAATGTTATATTAACAGCATTGGTCAGCAGTATTCTAATTGAAAATCTTGTTATTCTTGTTTATTTAATAGATAACGGTATTTATGAAACAAATAATATTTTAATGGCTATGATGTATAATATTTGTTTCATTGAATTATCAAGACTATTTTTAATCAAATTACTGCTATTAATACGACAATTTTTTTCATGTACATTTTCATACACGATAAATTCATCACGGATAAAAATATACCTGCATAAAAATATAATTAAATATAATGGAGACAACGTTTCAAAAAATTTAAATTTGTGTTGGCTTGCAAACTTAAGCTAGTAGATTTTTATGACATTTTTGTATGTTGTTTTAATAAAAAAATATTGTATTCGTATACAAGTACTGAAATGGAGACCGTCACACAATTGCTATTACGATCTTAGTTGTTATTACGATCGCATGAGAGAGTTGTTTCATTCCATTAGCTTTAATTGCGCTTTCCGCTTTGAATATCTCCGCAAACACTTATTACTTCGACATTGCGATCACAGTAAAATTAATTCTTCCGGAGTGTTTACTTCCGTGACGAGGAATTTAAAGCTCACCGAGGAATTCTCATCGTGAAAATGTTATGTAGGTATAAAGCGTACAAGGAACGTATGCAGCGCATGTATGTGGTGCCACGATACGATCCCGTTTATGTAGAACCCAATTTGAAGGAATACGAGACGCAAGTGCTTCAGATGAGCGTGCCGGTTGACGACAACGATAGCTGCAACGATTTACAATTGGATTTCAGCAACAAGAATCATGCATTTAGTCTGGACAATGTCAGCTACATCACCAAAGATCACGGAGACAGTACCGGTAATTCGCAACGGACGATATAAATCTGCATACTTGATGCAAGCTAAATTTCTCAAAAATATGTAGATGAAGATTACAGAATTAAAGTATTTTGCATTTATATCTCATTCCATGTTATTATTCACTTACAAAATGAAACTAAAAGCATTATTATCTTTATAATCTATTAACCATTAATTTTTCTTAAACTAAAATTATTTCATTCGGAGGATTAACGTAATAATTAAATACTTTTTGAACAATACTAATTTGTAGTGGATATCCGAAATGTATAACGAGCTTATGTATTCTGCTTTAAGGCCAACAAAGCCCCGTTAGCTCCGAAGCGGCGACCACGGCACGAGCATCCAGTATTGTCGGCAATCACGGCGATACCAATATTCATTCCCTACGACGGTCCACATTGGGCCGAAAGAATCATAGCGCGAGCAACACGAATACCCTCAACAATCGCGACGCGACACCGGTACTTAATCCCTTGTACAATCACGGCGGTGATTTGCTGAGCCCTAGTCCATCCAACGACAACGTTATCTTCAGGGAGAGGAAGGATTACTCGCATCTCGGATTCACGTATTTGGGCGAGCAAAGTCCCGTGGAGACCACGACGGAATTATAAGTCTTATGATCCGAGAGACGATGTTTGTCACTTTAAAGACTGCCACCGAATTATACGTATCCGCGAAAAAGAAAGGTTTATAAGATATAATATCTTATAAATGATAACTTACAGCATTCTGTAATTTTTATTTTCATATATGTTGTATACACGATAAGACGAACAACTGTGATGAACACATAACATTTTTTTCACATCAAAGTTCAATCAGTGATAAGATTTAAGCGTTAAAAATTTGAAATCCCACGCGTAAAAATCCTATCAACGAATATTGTCTCGCATTTACGACATACATAAAATCAACATTCACCTATCCTTCGCGACAAGCGGATGTAATTCTTTGTGCATTTAATTTTGACAAATGCATGAAATATGACGACGAGAGGAATTCTCGACGCCACGTAGCATTTTTCTTCTGACGCGTTAAGCAACATTAAAGAGCCATACGAAGAGCATATGAAAGCTTATAAATAGTTGAATGACTTTGTATCTATATGTTCTTCCTTTCATATGTCATCTTCTGAATGTGTACCTGCCGTGCTGATTCAGCGCGCGCAATGCAGCCGCGGAATTCCTGGTGGGACACATATTCTGAACGAGTTGCTCCGTATGTGATATCCATAAAAGAGCAGTGTTATAGCGTTTCAGATACGACGGCGGAACGAGGCCGTGAAAATATCGCACGCGTAAAAGGCGACTGAAAGAGAAGCGCGGATATCCTTTAGAGCCAGCCGATATTCCGCGCGATTTATTTTCAATCAAGCATCGCGTTTTCGCGTTGAAGCCGATAGAGTTTTGCTAACAAATTGCAAGATTACGAATAATCGCAGCGCCTCGAATTAATTATCGCAAGCCATTACGCGACTGTATACAGATATTAAATAGTTGCCGTGCAATAACTGAGTCTTGATTAATTTCAGAAAATTAATGTTTTTCATACTTCACTTGTGTGGACTCTCATCCGTGATGCGCATAAATGTACATTTTAATCATAGAAAGAGAGAGAGAGAGAAAGAGAGAGAGTGTGTGTGTGTGTGTGAGAGAGAGAGAGAAAATACCACTGCGATTCAAGTTGTAGACTTAAGTTTCGAGGACGAAGCTATACTTGTTATATTGTACGAACGGTGTACTTGTGAATGCATGTCTCTGTGCGAGTCTCGTCGGCTCGTGCGACCTTGTAAATGATCGATCTCGATCACGTTGTGTACTATATAATACCTTTTTTTTTATTTATACGATCGCATGTTTGCTCATGTCATTCTATTGTAATCACAATTAACCGAGGCGATGACGATAGTGCATATATTGTTTGTACGTGATCGCAAGGATACCGATGAAGCTTCATGGCAGCTGTTGCGCATTTCTATCGCGACTTGTTCGCCTCTTGTTCACACGACCGCACCAGCGGTAATTAACGACTGCCATGCGGAGAATGCGTCATCGACACCCGTGACCACATAAATGGTGGAGAGCGTACTTAATTAGGCACGCGTAATTATCCATTTCCTCTTGCAGTTTTGAACTACGCTATTCGACTTTGTGGATTGAAAGGTCGACAGATCTGCGGGAAGAAGTTGGGTGAAGCGACATTGAGAGGAACTGCGTATATGATACGACTTGATTGAATGTATATCTCTAGTCGTATACAGCAGGCGTCCACTGCCGTGCAATTTATAAGCCGCGTTTTATACTGAAAGAGAAAAAAAGATATCACGTGTATGTACGTGTTACAAGTGTTCTCCGATTATAGCGTTGATACCTTTACTCGTAGTTGTATAATATTTAAGCGCGAATTCTGTAAAAAATTGTTAATACCTAATAATAAATTTATTATATTTACATAATGATGGGGTTTTTGTTTACAACGCCGATGCTCCACAGAATATTCTTTTGTCGCAAAACAAACGACCGCTCTGCCAAATTGTTACGTAAACGTTATTTCTAGTTTATTCAAGTTTTCATACAGCTGAAGCAACTTTGCCTGATTCCCACGTACTTAATATGTTTCGCATTTTCACATAGAATAAATCGTATCTTTAATAAGCGGGAACGTGTGGAATATGTATTAACCTATATAGCATACTTTATTCAAGAGACATCCTGGAATTACGTCCTCTGGACGTCTTTAGGGCGTCTCTTGAAGGTCTGTGCTATAAGGGATGTAAAATTATTACGCCCTTGTAAAATTATTGCGCAGCTAACTTTATCGCCTCGATAATATTTTTAATACATTATACGCAGAGTTGCTGACACGTGATCCGTCCTTCCACGCGAAAAAAATTCATTTCAAAATCCATTCCAAAATTACGTAGCCCGCTGTGCTTTCGACAGTTTCGACTTTATGTGCTCGTAAGAGAGACAGCTATCATTTGGAATAATGCTCTACATATGCAAGTCTTTAATTAGAATAGCTATAACATTTTAATTAAAACGTGGAAAATTATACTTGAAGCTGCCTTAGATCGCTTACTCACACTCGTTGGTGGGAAGTGTGAGTGTGTCGGTGAGATACGAACCCATCAACGGGATCGTTCTGGGTAGCGGGCGGGTTTCAACCGTGCCCGACGATAGAGCGTCGGCGCCGCGACGGCGAGAGCACGCAGACGCATCTGGACCGGCGTCGGTGACGTAGAAACGAGAAACTAGAGGCGAAAGCGGGATCCGGAGGTAGACTTCTTCCGTTTTGGCAGGTAACGGTCAGGCTGTCCGCGGTGGTGACGGCACACTCGATCGCGGTTCTTCCGCTGGGGTCAACACGCGAGAAATCGCTTGTAGTCGCACGAGATAGGCAATTACTGTGTCCACGCGTTACGCGAATAAATACTGGAGGCATTTCATCGATCCTCCAGCGTATCGACAAGTAGCAGGCGGGCCCGTCCTCCCGTTCGCGACGCCGACAGCTCGAGGGCCGCGCAAATTCGGAGCGTCCGAACGATCGAACAGAGATGACGTACTATAAAGGGATCGCGAACCACCTGTGAACCGAATCGGAAACGCCAAGACAAGGATGGTCTTTGACGATTACGGAACGTGCATCCGCTTTTGTGACTTCAACAGTGTAATATTGTTTGTAAAATAAACGACGGATTGTAATTGTGTAATTGTGTAACAGTTACATTGGCGAACATCAAAAGCAAGTGTTAGACGTTATAATCGAGAAGAGTAAGCTAATTCGTTCGTGACAGGTAATTACTTGTATACACTAAATTAGAATAGTGTTTTGATAGTTTGATGTTCGTTTATGTTTAATAAATAAATGTAATAAAGTTGTGTTAAGATAGCAGATAAAGAATTCTAAATTGTGTTTGACACGAAGTTTCTTAAATTAAAGAATTAAGGAAATACATGATATTTATATTGATGAAAAGTTTTCTCTTTGATAGATTTCTAAAAGGAAAAGTATTATATCCTATATTTTTTCACTTCTGCTAAATTTCAGAGTCATAAAACTTTTCAAAATTTTATCCGTTCAATGTTATTTTGAAAGCTATCACAAATAATCGAAAAAACATTTTTTGTATAACATTTTTAAACATATAGTAAAAAATAAAATGAAATTTTAAAATAAGAAAAAAAATAATCTACCATGTTTTTTCACGTTTATCAAGATTGAAGAAAAAAAATGTTTGAGTATTTTAATTAAAACATTTTTTAAGTATTATTAAAAAGAATATATAACTCACTTTAATTAAATTTAACATTAAACATTTTTTAAGCATGTTATTAAAAAATATATATAACTCACTTTAATTAAATTTGACATTTAAATGCAATTATTATTATTACTTGGTTGAAAATAGTTGTAAAGCAAACATGAAATAAAACATTGCATATTTAGTATATTAAAAATGTTTGATTAAAGAAGAGTTAACAAGTTCGAAATTTAGATAACAAATTCTATTACGTTCCATCTTATATTTGAGCTTACAACAGGTCGCTCTGTTATATTTGCAGATTGATGACTAATTGGAAAATCAAGGATAACAGACATGAAATACTTAAAAGTCGCGTTGTTCACGTTCAATCTATTAATATGGGTAAATAATATATGCATGCACATTTTGTAACATTATAAAATTAAGTCTAGAAATAGCGACACGTGCCACGAGCACTTAGACGCAGATGCTCAAACTATAAATAATTCTGGCGTAATTCTGTAGTTCAGAGCAAAACACAATCATTTTTCATATAACTATTGTATTGTTCTTGCCTGAGTAAAATTTCGATTTTATCTCTGGAAGAAAGCACAGAGAATTATTTTAAGAGTCGCGTCGCTTAAATTTACGCGATGTCCAGGAAAGTATAGTTTCCTGAGGAATACAGAATTACTCTCGCTAAAGTACGCTAATCACGATAAAGAAACAATCGGACGTAAATTCATTGCCTTTTCCTTTCGGCAGTTGGCTGGTTGCACGGTACTCGTTATAGGCGCGTGGTTACTCCTGGAGCCCAGTAAAGGACACATCCTGAATCTTTTTGTACCTGATATTAAGCCGTACGAGACTATTAATCTGATAGCTTACAGCCTCCTCGGGCTTGGTTTCATCGTACTCACGGTCGGCTTCTTCGGTTGCCGCGCCGCGCTACGCGGAAATCAATGCATCCTCGCCACCGTGAGTGAAACGACATTTTTATTACCTCCGCCCCTCGGGGGCGCGCGTACCATTATAGATGTCGGGTCAGGGTCGGTGATGTTTTTATATCGGTGATCGTTTTTCCACAGTACATGAGCATGTTGGTCGCGCTTATCGTCACGGAATTGGTAACGGCCGCGATCGGCGGGTTGATGACTTTCCAGATCCTATCGGATCTGGAGGAAAGGCTCACCAATAAACTAGCGGTGGATTACGGTCACGATTCGACCAGCGATGTCTCCTTCAGCCACAGTTTGGACTTTGCGCAGTATAAGGTGTCGTACCAATAGAACTGCTCGTTTAACTGCTCATCGGCATGTCTTATCATTAAAAAAATCGCTTATTTTTTTATTTTCAATCTTATTTTTAATTGTGATATGTTTTGTTCAATCCGTCTTACGTATAATTTTTCAACTATCAATATTAATTATGAATTTTTTTTTGTATGTTTTACTTGAGATGTCAAGTTCGCGGATACGTGCTTTCCAGATCGCACATTGTATCTGTGCACGACACGTTAGTGAAATGATACGAAAAATTATCTTTTTCTTATTTAAAACGTTGTATTTAAGATTATTTCGTCTTATTTTCCCTGCAGCATGTATTATGCGCCAAAATGCGCACGTAAATTATGTTTCATGCATGATGGGGTCGCATGCGATGCTTTGTCGGAAATCGTCTACCCGATGAGACATTTCGCGATGGTTCGAAGAGCACATGGATGATTCCATTGCAGTTTAATTGTTGCGGTATATACGGCGATGACGATTACAATGGCACTGCTTGGTGGAGGGATGGTCGAATCTCTGGAAGCAAGAGGCAGGTTCCCCTCACGTGTTGTGTTCTCAAAAATAGTGAGGTACATGTTTAAATTGATTGATTCTAAAACAACATATATGGATATTGAATTTCTGAAAGTTGAGAGAGTTTATAAAATGTTTTGGAAGAGAAATATATATAATAAAATACAAATTCACGTACAGTGTGTAATATTAATATCTAGAGATCTCTTTTGAAAACCATATAAGTTGTGCATAATGTACATTTTTATATTTTGATTGTTTTTGTGAATAATTTAATCTTCTGATTCATCTCTTTTTAAACTGTCCTTTATCTTAAATATCTAGTTAAGATCCACGGTTAGTTAGTAAAAGCGAGAGCTTCTGTTTCGCAGAATAAAAATACAGGTAGCAGCCCAATGAGCGTTGTTTCGAGGGTGTTTCACAAAAATGTGAGTAAAATGTCGGCGACGAAGCGAATGTATGAACTTTATGTGAGTAATCTTTTATCGCTGGCAGAACGAGAAGCCATGGCTGCATCCGCAGCCAAAGGATGAGGCCGCATGTCAAGTAGAAGACGAAGAGGGTCACGAGGGATATAGGCACAAAGAGGTAAGTACGCATCGTGCCGCGAAGCATCATGTCGTTGCATGTTACAGTGCTGCATATTTCAAATGAACAACGCGTTTTCTCAGGGCTGCCTTGGAAAAGTCACGAACTGGCTGCAGTGCGAGAGCTTCACATTAGTATTCCTCGGTATGGCAATGGCAGGAATACAGGTAAATTTTTTTATTATTTTTTGCAAGCTCTTGGAAGAAATAATTTCGAAGAAACGTAAAATCAAAGATTCATATACTGTAAAAAATAAAATGTTAATTTTAACTTAAAGACGTATAGTGGACTTTTTGAAACATGCAAAAATTAACATTTTTTGCTGTTAATTTTATAATAACATTTTTGCATGTCTCAGAAAGTCCACTATACATCTTTAAGTTAAAATTAATATTTTGTTTTTTATAGTGTAATTTTACTAAGTGCCTTTGGTTTTTCAAACTTTATAAAACGTTTTTATAAAAATTATATTGTACAGTAAATTACTGTTCTTTATTTTAAGGAATTTTTTTGTATCTTTTTGAAATAGATTATAATGGATTATAAATAATAGAACAGACTTATCAAATATTTTCTTAATAATTTCTTCTTTTGTGTCTTCAATATTTTGTAAAAAAACTTTATTTAAAGAAGCGCTTTTGATCTTTAAACTGTATAAAACGTCCTTGTAAAAATGGTATAGTAATTACTCTTCTTTATTTAAAAGAACTTTTCGGATTTTTCTTCAAATCGATTATAATCGATTATAAATAACAGAACAGATTTAAATATTTTCTTAAATTAAATCCTCCTTTGCTCATATATTTTGTAAAAAAGAAATAATTAAAATGCATTTCAGACGTTCGGGATAATAACGTCTGCCTTCCTCTGCCGAACGATAAGAGATATGCAGGAAGAATGATCCAGGATTCGTAGTCTCAATGAAGTAAAGAGAATGTCGTGGCACGTTCAATCTTTACATTGACAACTTTGGGAGAAGAAACATATTTATTTTATATCTTCGGTATTGCTACTTGGAAGATTGCCGAAATTCATTTCGGTTATGTGAGTCGGGACATAATCGGGATTTGCAGCTAGGAAATATATTGTGAGGAAGAAAATAATCTAAATATTTGTTCTATTTCACAAAGTGTCTGTTCATTGAGAACTTCGAATCGAAATAACAATAAGTGCTACGCTTAAATTTAGATCGATTTCCACCTCTGTGCGCGTTTTGCTGCCATTCAGCAATAATGTGACCAAAATACACCCTGCTGTACATACAACCGTATGCATCTGTGTCGTGTTCAATCTAACTAATACTAACAAATAGCGATGTTATCGCTAGTGTCTCACGACGACCATCGGGGGAGTTTGGTTAGTAATGTGAATTGTTATCCATGGCGTTCTATCGTCTTGTAAATACACTTGCCAAGGAGGACGAGTATATGCGTGCGTGAGAACTTTCGAGTTGTTTTCTTTTTTTGTGGAAAATTTACCTAATTTGAGATGCAAAATAATTTTTCGCACAAAGTTGTACATGAATTTTTGAAGAAATATCATAATTTTTAACGAATAAGATATTTATGTGAGTATATTTAGGGGAGACTGAGGCTGATTGATGTATATTGTATTCTATTAACAGACTGTTAAACGATGTTAGTAGTCCAATAAGAAACGCGTTACAATCACATGACGCCACTTTGACTGAACTTGATGAGTTTTCAAAGTACATTTAACTAGCCTAGATTCTTAGCTATAAATCGAATTAAAGAAATTACAAAATTTCATTTACTTAGTAAAATGTCATTAAGTTTTTACGTATATATATTTCTACTTAGCCTAATAATATATGTTCAAGATAGTGCCAAAATAATCTCTGTGTTTCGAAACTTGAAAAAAAAAATTACAAGTTTTGATCAATCCCAGCTTCTCCTAATGAACGTGTATGTTAGATCTTTATAGACATTTGTCGTCCATTTCGAAATGGATGATGCACATATACATATATACATATATATATTATATATATTATATACAAATATTGATGTATAAAAAATGCGTCATATATATTCTTTAAGAAAATACTTTCCTCTCTCCGACACTAATTTTCGAAGAATATATTATTACAACTTGTGCCAAAAGAGTTTATTATATAATGAGTGACACTTTTAATATGTTTTTATTTTCTCAAAACACTTGGCAAAACGAAATGTCCTGCGTTTATAGAACGCACCTTAATGATAATAAAGATGTTGTTCTATGTGTAAAAAATTTGTTATTTATTTTATATTCTCACAAATTTGTATTTTATCATTTCTAAAATTTTAAAAATTATATCTATTTACAGAATTAGTAGCTACATTATTGTAAACATACATTCTTAATTTTATAAATTGTCAATTTTATAAATTGTATTCGCTTAAATATAACAGCATCATCGTATCGAATAAATCTATTAATTTGATATAAATTATACCAAAATTAATATATAAATAAGAAGATAAGTTTTTTATATGCATTTAACCATTTAAATATTTTAATAAAATAATTATGTACTAATTACCCGATAAGCTTTCTTCATAAAAATAAACATCACGGTCGTTCAGCGGTTGAACTGGTCGACAATTTAAAAGTAATGGGCCCTCTACCGAACAAAGCTTTCGAAATTTCTCTATCTATAAATTATATTATATAACGATAAAAAGATGAAAATATTTTAGTGACATATGATTTTACCTGAGATGAGGAAATAGCGATTGGTTCTTGCTGGACGATCCATGTGACAATTTCACTGCAAGGTGGCTGGCTAAGAGAACCGCTGTATGTATAATAATCTCTGTCAAAAGGTGCGAAAATCCATTCCAATGGAAAAGGAGGTATATAGACTTTAGATCCCGGATAGGTAATGCGCCACAAATTGCTTATGATATGATCCAAATAAGGATTATCCGTGTCATTCATCTAAAACAATGTTAAATGTATTATGATAAGCAAGGATAGTTATGACGAATCATTTTGAATATAGTACAGTACATTTTTTACTGGTTCAATTTTTTAATACTTGTGATGAAGCACTTATTTGTTAACAAAAAGATTATACTTGAAGGAAGAACGAAGTAATCGCTATTCCGTCTTTTGCTCCAAGCGCGATCGCATCTGTTGGTGATTTAAGTCCACGTTTTACATGTATAATTTGTAATTCCATAGGAAAACGAAAGTAGTCCAAGGTATGTTCACTGCCCTCTTCGTTTGATGGACCCCAGTGAAAGAGAACATTAAAAAAGTCGTACGTATCGGTCAAAGGTCCTCCTTGAAGTTGCGGCCATGTGGTACTAGTCCAGAATCCTCGGAGTATTACTATATATTAACATAAAACTATATATTAACATAATGTTAAAGGTATATCATTAAATATATTTTAATTTACTTGTAGAAAATTTACCAGTGTGACCATCATTTGTAATAGTCATCGACAGAGGTCCGCTATTATAATTGCTCCACCGAAGTGGCTCAGATGGTTGCACTACTACAGCGAGCCTAGTTGTGATATTAATGGGCGATTGATTGCTACCAATGCTCTCAGGATATAGATCTTTCCATGTATGAGGACCATTCTGATAAGCATAGCCAAACGAAAAAGTGGATGGACGGTAATCGTTTTCCATCCATGTGAATAACTGCGTCCAGTCCAAAATTTCGGTTAATAGTAACACTAACGAAAGAAATTAAATATCGTAAAAATATTCAATTATTTTAAAATTAAAATCTCCAATTGATGACTATATAAATATTAATGTTTATAAAACTCTCTTGCCATGGAGGTTATTATTTTATAATTAAATTATTGCTTTTTATTTTTCTGAGAAACACGCACCCATGAGTAGAACACTGCTGCACGCAACCATACATTCTACTAACGAGAAACCCAACATTTTTATATTAAAGCTTCCCGGACATTTGTGTTACAAAAGCTCGGTGTTGAGACCCACGTACGATATTTCCGACGTAATAAATTTTTAAGCGAGCGGTATATTTCACAATTTGTCCGATATTTCATTCCGCATTAATTTCTATTAAAAATATTTAGAAAAGTACGAAATATAATGTAAAATGTCAAATAATTTTTATCGTCAAATAATTTTTAAGAAAATTGATATATTCAGCTTACTTCAATTTATAAAAATAATGTAAAGATGATTCAAAGATTACGATGTGTTAGTAACTTCTTACCTTTAAATTGACAATTATTCGTTGCACGATGACATGATGCAATTACTCAAAACTTATTTCCAATAATGTCATAAAAATAGTTACAACATTAATACCAATATTTTAAAAATAATATGTCGCCTTTAAAATAGATGAAAATTTAAATTTAGATTTCTTTCTATTTAAAAGCTCGATGTATTCATCGTGATGTACAGATGACGTCCAAATCTAAGAGTGTACAATCACGTAAATAAAAACTTTAATCTTAATCGTGTTTCATAGATAACGACTTTGTTATAGTTACTTGTTTAATAGCTATATAAAAATATTCTTATTATATTTATGTAATAAATTTCATTTTTATGCGTTCTACACAAGAACAAAAATTATGCACGACATCATCTTCGGATCTACCGAAATGCCGGCAATCTCCGATCGATATCAGTCGCGTTGCAGTGTGGAGTAAAAAATTTCCTCCATTACTTTTGACAAATTATTGGTCAAACAGTGGCACAGCGATACTTACAAACACCGGAAAAACAGGTTCTTTTTATCTAATATAAATTCGGAATAATATATTACACATTTATTGTTTAATAATTTTTAGTTAACATTGAATTGGCGAATAGAACATTGCCAATAATGCGTGGCGGCCCATTGAAGGACGATGAATTTCAATTTATGAATGTACAATTCCGGTGGGGTCCATCCGACTGTCGAGGCGCGGAACATTCTATCGACAACATTTGGTTAGAGATATGAATTTGATATTAAAAGTTATTTATGTATGAAGAATATATTAATATTTTTTATTTAATTTTAATTTAAATTAAAATTATATTTTATTTTAAATGAATTACGAATTTGTTGTCATAATTATTTGATATCAATGCAACGTCAAAGTGACGGTATTTATCAAGGTATTCGATGGAGGCGCAAGTCACGCATTGGAATACGCGTTATGGATCGATAGACAAGTGTTATGACAAATCTGATGGAATTTCAATACTCTCCTATCTCATGCAGGTACAATAATCAAAAATTAATTAAAATCCGACCTGTCAAAATCTTCTTATGATAGAGTTTTATTTTCAGAATAATATGCTGTTGCAATTTAATTATAACATTTAATTATGATGAAAAGGTTGTTGGTTGTCCTGGGATTCCAGACAATCCTGCGCTTGCCCCAATCACTCATAAACTCCCAGAAATAAAACGGACGGATAGCACCATAAATATTACTCCAGGTAATTACATAATATGAAATGATCTTTTTTAATAATACTTATTAAACTTTATTAATCACACATTATAGATCATATACTTCTCAATGTTAGTGTTTCCTTTCTTTTTCTTTTCATTGTAATAAACATTAAAAGCGATTTTACAAAAATTATACAACTTTGTTTTAAAATATACTTTAAATACTTGTTTCAGAATATACATTATTATTTTTGTAATACATTGTATACAATAATTTTTTTATTTCCTGATAGCTTTTACTACATAAAATGTTATTTATGATATTAACATTTTTTAATTAATTATGTGCTTACTTACAGATTGTTTACGTTGGATGATGCACGCATGCACTTGGCCTGGATATTATACTTATACAGGTTCTCTTACTTTTCCTCCGTATAATGAATGCGTCACCTGGATAATCGTGCCAAATGCTATAAAAATATCCTCTAATCAGGTGTATATATATATATATTAATTTAACTTGAAAAATTATTTAACGCTTTAAATATTAACGTACATAATATGACAATTTATATTTATCATAGATCGAAGCATTCAGAAGCCTTTACAATCATAAATGGGAGCGTATAGTAAGAAATTATAGATCACAACATCTTCTTCATGGAAGAAGGATTTTCTTTGCCATAAATGATACAGTAGTTTGATCGATTAAAGTATGTATATAATTGTTAAAGAAATAAATTCAACTGAAAATTATTAAACTGAATTAACATTGAACAAACAAGCATGAACAAATATGAATGAATAATTTGTTGAAATATATTGTTTGTGCTTGCTTGCTTGCTTGCTTTAAATCCGGCTTATACTGTACGTAAAATAGGACCTCCTTTGTGTATTTTCATTTTATTTTATGAAAAGTATGAATAAGAATTTTATTTTTCTGCTAATATTCCGAAATGTTGTAATTCGATGGTATATTTTTATATTATAATTATGGCAGAGAGAAACCTGAGAGAGGATATGAGGACCTTTTTCCTGTAACCGTAAAATACCGCCGGGCATTACTGCCTCTGAAGAAGTGGATGTAAACTACACAATAATATCCATTTTTTGCGGTGCTCCTGATGGAAATAAATCACCGAAATTGCTGAAATAACTAAAATCTATCAAATAAATAGAGATTCAGATTTCTCTCTGCCTGTATTTATAGTCAGATCTTATATTTAAGATCGTTTTAAGTATAATCTGAAGATGTCATGAACCAATCAGAAAGCCGTATTAGCAATTTAGGATATTACTTAAGATGATCTTATAGTAAGAACCGACTATGAATACCGGTCTTAATGCCTATTGCACACTGGATACGATGAGAGATGAGCGACGAGTGATATTCAACAAGAACTCTGCTTTGTATCATCACGTGCAAAAAAGCAGAGCTTCACGATTCAAAGCCAACATGGTAATGTAAAAAATTTATATATATTGCTTTAAACTTAATAAACTATTATACTTATACAGATCTTTAACATTTTTAATTTCTTATAACATTTTAACAGAAATTATCTAAAATAATTTTCAAATTTTCATAACACGCGTAAATTAAAATAATCTCTTACATTATATAACCACAAAATATCTACAATACATTTTATATAAATTAATTATTAAAAATTTTGAAGTTTATTATCTGTTATTATTTAAAAATAGGTATGATTACCGTTATATTTTAAACTTTAACTCATTAAGTTTATGGAAAGAATCGATACTGGCGCAAACTCGTTCTATTGCTTCCTCCAGAGCTTTATATATGCGAATAAAAAATATTTCTCTGTAAAGTTGTAAATTTAAACCGAAACTTTCATTTTCTTCCTGCACTAGTGCAGTTTCTGGTTGATTATTTACTGTTTTGCTATGTAGTTCTTGCAAATTGTTATTGGATCTTTGAGACAAAGGCGTCAATTTCTGTTTAACTTCTATCGGCATAGCAGGCTCTTCTCGTATTAGACTGTTTCTTTTCACAAGTTCACTTTCATTTTCAAACAGATTTGTAAAAGCGCATAAAATGTTATATACAGCGTCATATTTATTGTAATATTCAACATCAGATTCAAACAATCTTGGTCTAAGGCTCTGCTTGCAAAGTTCGTTAAATCGGGCGAGCATGTCGCGTCTGTAGTTTGTATCTTTTATCTGTAAAAGGACATCTCGGAGAGAATCTAGCGACAAGTTCCAGGTCGATGTACTTTCACCGGTAACATCAGAATATATTCTATATAACTGCATTACGATATTCGGGTGATAATGATAACAGGAATTCAGAGAGGCAAACAGGTCACTTTGCGAAATTAATATCTCATAAGGGGGCTCTGGTGGCTCACTGTGCTCCACTCTATCTAAGATTTCCTCAATAATCGAACGTATCGTCCAGTCTCGAATGCAGTGATTCAGGTATTCGTCGATCATTTGGCGATTGGTCAATTCTATACTTTGAGTATCGGTTGTGCAGCCCCAGAATCGAAACATAAACGTCGAGAAACTTAATTTCGGATCCGTGATGAATCTCCAATATTCGGTGAAAACTCCGCACGTTCTGGACCGATACCATATTTTGATCTTTACAATCTGCCCTGGAAGTATGAGCCCTTTCGTCTTGTTGAAAAAAAACTGACTGCCGTGCCTTTCGAAGGACATGCCGTACGTTCGAAAGGACGAGTATCGCCAATGATACTCTATAACGCGGGTTCCTTTATTTTCTAAGACGATCTCTCTTTCGATTTGTTCGTTGGTCTTACTCGTAAAAGTCAGAGACCAAATGATAGGATCGGTGTCCACTGGCTCCATTCTGAAGAGAGATCTCTGCCAGACGAATTCTCGATCTTGAATCTTTAGAATTACTGCCTGATCAGCGTCCTCGCGAGGCTCATCTTCAGATTCTGTAATAGTTATCAGCGGCATTCGTAGTAGCGGTAGTTTCTTTTTCTGATAGGCGTGTCCTTGAATGGCCAATGTTGTCATTTCCGGCTCCTTAGGCACCAGCAATGCGATTTCTTCAGCAAGTTCGAGTTTACGAGTCTTTAGATACTCGCTGCGTTTCCAGAATTCTTCCTTTTTTTGAGTGGCGAGACTACGTTCCTTTGCTATTAAGTCCGGTAATCCAACATGCATTAAATCCGAAGGAAAAGTCAGATCCTTTTTGCTAAGAGTCAAGGATACTTCCGGTAGACAAGCATCGCCACGATCTGGCAGGAATTCGGGCGTTTTCCAAAATTCCGGTCTACCACGATACTTATCGGAGACCATGGGTATAGCAGCGTGTTCCATTAGGTTTTTCATTTCAACGAAAGAGCGAAACTTTTCCGAGGAATTCTGTAACTGTTCGCCCTGCGAACGACCGGTAACAAATTCGATGTAACGATTTTGCTTCTTGTGGTCAGCGAGCCATTTCTTCCAATTTATGAAGCCACGATCTTCCGAAAAGGACGTATCTCTAGAGAGAAGATTATCTCTAGTTGTTACAAGTGGTTGACGAGTCTTCTTCCAGATTCGAGGCTTATCAGGTTTACCGATTTTTCGTGCAAAGTCCATTTTCAAGGAACCAAAAAATTATTTCGTGCCTTGTCTACCTTTTATATTCAACATCTTAATAGCCCTCTTGAATAAAAATCTAAATTTATTTTATATATAAATCCGTTATTTTTAATTACAGTTGCCATGCTTTTTCTTCTTCTTTTATAAATAAAGGAAATATTACCTTCTTTTCGTGATGCTAATTAATCATCTCAATGTTATATATCGGCTTGTTGTTGTGACAGTTTGTACGTTAAATAGGTTAAACATGTAAAGTTATTAATAGGAAGTTTTAAAAAAAAAGTTTTAATAAAATTTATCAAAATTTTAAATTAAATTTATATTTCAATATTTAAATTTAATTTAATTGAAAGTTTTAATATAGAAAGGTTTGTTTTTTAATTTTGATTAAAAAAGATTTCTTTTCTAATTTTAGTATGTGTAATGGTATACATGCCACGCACATACACATATGTACATACACATACATATAAAAATAAATAGTTTTAGCATCATAAATTTATGTCAGTAATCTATTAAAAAATATATGGTATAAAAAAATAAATGGCGCAAATTTGGGATCTCTCTTTAAAAATGTACTTTCATTTAAAATATGGAAAGTGCTCTATATTATCGATGATGACGCTCAGTATCGATAAAATATTTAGAATGAAGTTCAGACGGAGCAAAATTGATGAAATGTTGTATTTGGAGCATTTAAATTTATAAGTAATGAATATCATATGATATATCGGCATGAATTCTTCGACAGGTGGGGTATATATAATTTGAAGTTGTATTTTTTATATGCCTAAAATACTTTTACTATTAAATGTCACTTTATAATTATATATATATATATATATACATAGATTCTCATGAAGATACGAAAGAAACGGTTAGATTTATACAGAACTTGGCTCATACCGATGGCAAGCTGAGATCACCAATCGATTTGAATATCAGCCATATGAAAGTCGTGAATCTAAATCCTATACAGTGGGTCAATTATAATGTCACGCCAAAAAAATTAAAACTCAGCAACACTGGGTATACTGGTAAAAAATGAGAGTCATATCCAACGTGCAAATGTTTACTTCTAGTAAAATAATTGGATTTATTATTTATAGTCATGCTTAGTGCAACATGGCGTAAAGAAGAACCATATTTGTATGGCGGTCCTTTCATCAGCAGTTATGTCTTTTCACAGCTTCATTTTCATTGGGGTAAAACTGATATGGACGGCAGTGAACACCATATTGACGGTGGAAGGTTTTATATTTTTACTGTCTATGTTTTTATAAATTTTATTTATCTGTTCTTTTAATTTAAACGCCCTTGTTCCATGCTTTTCTAAAGCATGCCAATGGAATTGCATGCGGTACATTATAAGAGTGATTATGGAACTCAAATAGCGGCTCTTCGTCAACACGATGGTGTTACTATATTAGTGTACTTATTCCAGGTATTAAAAAAGTTTATTTTAAATAAACTAATTCTATTAAATAATAATTTTATATTAAAGTATTTTTCGTGCATTATTTTTTAATACGTTTAAATGTGATTTTAACATTCGAATAGAAATATGTCTTTAGATGTTAAGAAAATAATAGGTATATTTTAAAAATAATATTACATACACAGCTGCAGGCAGCCCCTAATCCACTTCTGGATGATATCATAAACACATTACCTTTTATCCAAGCAGCTAATTCTTCCATCCGTTTAATACCTTTCCCTATAATAAATATTATGCGATGCTTTCAACATGATTACTTCGTTTACTGGGGTTCCATAACCATGACAAATATCAGAAATAGCGTACTTTGGTTAATAAGCAGAGAACCATTAGGAATATCCATTGATCAAGTAACTTATGCCATGTTGGAATAAGAATTATCAATAAATGGTCTAAGTAATGATTAAATAAAATAATATTGTCACGTAGCTAATTTTTTTATCTCATAATAGTCTTGCTTTTATTTTTTAAGATTGCAGAGTTTCGAACATTATGTGATGAACGTAAAATGCCGATTTTAACAAATCGTCAGCCATTACAGGATAGAGGTAATAGAAATATTTTCCATGTATGTCCTAGTGGATCTAGATATGCAACGCTTCTACCAATTTCACGTGATGGCGATGATAAATATATTCCTCAAGACGATGTCAATAACAGTGATAAATGATTTAATTTATATTATTTATTATGATATTATAATAAAATAATTTATAAATTTATTATTTCTCATAAATAATCATATTATTTATGAATCTCTCTAATCACGAAGTTGTTTAATTTATAATTTTATTTTGAACTTTTTAAAGCATCGTTTATTTCTTTTTTCTGCGACGCCTCTTAATTCTTTCACTCTCGAGATCGCATTCCGGATAGAAAGAGACGCAATCGATTCCACCCAAGCCCAGAATGGATGCCTTCATAGAATCCAACATTGCCGACCATGGAGTTTTGTACAACATTCTACCAGACAACCAACTCATGCCCAAGCTGAAAAAGAGGATGTCAATGTTATCGGTTTTGGGATATAATTACAAATTCACCGACTAATGATATTACGTCGACTGATTCATGAGACGATAAAAGTTTGAATTTCACCTTGTTTGTGAGGTTCATATAATTACTGTTGAAATCTATTACCTCCAAATGGGAATCCAAATTCTGCGATCATCTTTAGTTTCTTTGGAGTATTGATTATCTTCACATAGTATCCTGCGTAAACAATTACCAGAATCTGCTTCGGCAACCATTGCCGCTTCGATGGACCTCAAAACGCGATAAGATAACTCGTTCAAGTCTTCGTTGCTAATGATAGACGAGGAAAGAGAAATCGTGTCTCTCCTCTTTCGCCTACTGCTGTTATCCTAAAATGTAACATTTTCAAACTTCTTCATCAAAGTTACATGTATAGCTCTTCTTTTGTATTAAATATTTTATTCTTGTTCTTATTCTTAAAAAGATATTTTAGAAAATAAGGACGTATTTTTTAAATATAAATTTTTAAACATAATTTTTTTAATACTGTAATTTTTTTAATACATTTTTAAACATAATTTTTTTAATACCGTAGCATTACATATAAGCTGAATAATGAATAATCCGAATGATAAGAATGCAAGCGCGGTGAGTGCAATTTCGAAGAATTCCTTGAGCGAGAGATCACTGCTTTTTCCTTTGGAATAAGAGGATTTATGATCTTCATGGTTTTGATGATGCGGCGCGTAATAGTATTCTTCGTGAGCAAATGGGAAGAAGTCAGCATGATGTCCATAGTGATCGCCGTGATGATGGCCAAACAAAGATCCGTAATGGAAAGAATGATGTCCCGTTGATGATGGTAGCATGTCATCTATTCGTAAGATATGTAAATGTCACATCTCCCCAAGTCTTTCATATAATGCGTTATGTTTTGTAATTGTTTTTGCAATTTACCTTCGTGAGACGGATCGTAAATGCCTACTTTTCCGTTTGATTCCGGCAGAGGAGCTTGCATTGCGTATCCCGTTACCTCGCCATCGAATTCCTCAATATCGTCGTGCTGAATATCTTGCTTTTTTTTTATTTTTTTATGAGGCGCATAATGTTGATACAAATCGTTTAGTGTCGTCATTCTATTGTCATATCATTATCATAGATAGGTTAAAAATTAAAGAAATTTATTTTATTTTACATCATTCCGTCTCTCTTTTTGTACATTATAACAAACTTATAAACGTTATTTCAGAACTAGAATACATATATTGAATACGCCCTCGTCAAACATTTTTAATTAAATTTTAATTAAAAAATTTAATGAAATGTTTATTTTTTAAAAATATTTTATGTTAAAAATTAAAAATAATTTGTTAAAGAAAAATAAAGTTAAGTTTATAAAAAACTTTAATAGAAAAAATTATTTTGTATAGTAACATAAAATCTATCAGAGTTACAAGTAAATGTCATTAGTTATACAAATATAATTTGAATTATAAAGGATTTTATAGTTTTTGCATGTTTACCGTTGCAGCCAGTTTTTATATTTCGTGCTTCCTTCATCCGCCAAAAGTTTATCGTGTATCGTAACATTGTCATCGCCTAAGAAGTTGTGATTTGAATTGGTTGACGAAGATTCGGGATGTCGCTTCACTCTAGGAGTGCTCACTTCTTTAAAAATTTCTTCCGCTATGTAAGCCGTGACAAAGATACTCATTCATTCTTTTCCTAATTTAATATATTGACTAATTTAATTTCAACGTTGCACATCTAAATTTTTAGATTGACGCATTATCATTTATTTCTACGATAAACCATTACCTACGCTTTAAGTCTCAAGCCATAAGAAATTGATCAATTACTGCAGTCAAATGTGAGAAGAATAATCAACTATGATTGGTCAATTTCTTACGGCTTAAGGGGATCCTAAAGCTGTGTCTGTACTACTAACTAAACCATATAATTTTGTATAACAATTACTTTTTCTTTTTTTATAGATTCGAAAATCCTTTTCCAAGAGCGTATTCAGATTCCCACTCGCCGGATGCTCTCAGAGTGTTATCCTTGTTTAATGTTCAGTAAACAAAAAGATAGAGTGATACTTGGATGGCACTCGGGTGGGAATCCGAACATAGCCCATGATTAAAGTATATGTATCTATGAGGTGGAGTTTATGCCAAAAATGACAAAAAATTTTGAAATTGAGATCTTTGCCATTTCTTAATCCAATGGCGCTCTAGAGCTATTATGTCGTGACATTTGCTTTATATAAAGGCTGTGCAGTCTGTACTTACGAAATAGTAGTCTACAGACTAATAGTTTGCATAAAGAAACAACGTGAAGTTCTTAGAATTGGACTTAGACATCTAATTAAAACGTTATTGTTATACGAAAATTTAAGTGTATGTATATGTGAGATATTGATGTAATAGTATGTAACAATGTCAATGACACTTAAATCATCTGTGTGTAAGTCCTATTTACACTATGACTAATCGACTTTAGAATCCCCTTAATCCATTAAGGATCAAGACAAATTTTTTTTTTCAAAATTTAAAATCCTTTTAATGGCAAGCAACTATGCCCTTAAGGAGCCTACTTGCCAAAAATTTTGCATCCCAAAGTTGATCTATTTTTTTGGTCGAAAAATCGACCAGCGGTCCTTAATGGATCAAGACTGAAATTTAAATAATGGCTTATTGTAGAAAACTCGTTGCATTACCTATGATATTCCATTTCGTTTAAGGCTGTGTGAAAAGATCCATCCACGGTTTTGTTTATCACTGTTTTAGGGACATTGTTTTTGTACTGATCACTAAATAAAAACGATCCAGGTAAAAGATCCACGGAAAGTATGTCGTTTTGATCGATGCAAAACTCATTACCGTCGTCGTAACATTCTTGCGCCGATACCGTACAAATTATGAAAAAGATTTCCAAAATATATATTATTTTGTAAGTTCGTAATAAACATTTTTCACCGCGTTCTGGAAAATTTTCTAATGCCATTCTAGTTGTGTTACGAGACTGTCACTGAAACGCGGAGACAACTGTGACTGAAGAGAAGGCGACACGCTCTTGTAATAATCTACGTGTCTGCTAGAAATAATTGCTTTAACCGTAACGTTGCCTAGGTTGCGTTATAACAGTTTTAAATACACTGAAAAAGAATATTGAGCTCATCTGAATATATACAATATATATTAATAATTTTTCAAAATGACGATGTTGAAAGTTAATGAGATCAGGAGAAAGAAAATTTAATAATAAATAACTAAATTACAAGTATATATAAAATAGAAAGATTGAATACATTTAAAATTTTAAATATTACAGATTCATATTGTAATAATAAATTAATATTATCTTTAAATTATATAACTTATGTCAAAAGGAATATTCACAATTATATCGATCATTTCATATAACAACAATACAACTAAAAAATTATCATTTTTGTGTTGCTGCAAGAAAAGAGAATGTAAACACAAAAAAAGAAAGAACATATACTTTAAAAGAACATACCTTTATTTTTCTATAGTTAGTTATCAAAATTGCATCACAACAACTTTAAGATTTCTTTTAGAATTTTTTTTATGAAATATCTTAAAAACGTTTTTCGGTGAACTCTTAAAGATATTTTATGCGTCAATTTTAGATATTCTGCTCATTATAGGTAACTAAAAAAAATTTTCTACCACTTTGCGAAAATTGCAAAGTGGTAGAGGATTTTTTGATTCAGTTTGGTCCGCTCTATCTATACACGAACGATTTGTCAAAACTTATCAGACACCCTGTATATTTGAATCATTAAAATTTTATAATAATATTCAAATTTATTTTCTAGGAAACTTTGTCCTTTGAGTTGTGTCGCTGTTGTAACAAATGAGCGATATTATCAGAAAAACTGTATCATTCAAATTTTTTTTATTTTGAATTGTTATTGGAAAAGCTATAAAGCTATAAAATAAAATGATGCCACGCCGATATCAAGAGATTGAAAGACAAAACACCCGCATACCTGCAAAAAGCGGGTAGTACATCTGTTTAGATTCATGACTAATCCCCCTGATTGGTGACAGCACCCACCGATTTAATTCGTAATCCGACACTCATGATTAAATACGTTTATTAAAAACCACTTACAACGCTCTTATGAATGTTTCAAGAGCGGAGGGTCTGTCGGGATGTCTGCCCGGGTCGAGGTGGTAAGACAGGGTAATGGGGCCTTTGTTCCCCTGGGAACGCGCTCACCTGTCTAATATCTCGCGAGAGTGGCTATATCTGTACACACACCAAAAGCGGCCAGTTATACTCCAAGCTTACTGAAAATTAATCGCGCAGTTTCGAAAGAATCCTCGCGTCTCTCGCGTCTCGTCCTACCATCTGAAATAAACGTTTTTCATGCGATTATTAATGGTGTCGTAGTCGCAGAACTACCGATGTATCAGACAAAAATATACGTAAAATTACATCTAGCTTTATTTTTGTTTATTTATTGTTTATAAATATAATATTTAAATTTTTCCTCAAAAATTATAATTAAAACTTATAACACAATGTAGAGGAAAAAACGAGAAAGTAGATTTTAGCAAATATAGATTGGAATATTAAAATATTATATTTATAATATCCTTCTTTCTTTCAAGTTTAATGCTTTTAAAATACACAGTGCATACTATACATAATATTTTTAACGGGACACGAAGGATGCGATTCTTAATTGTCAGCAGTCGAAGTGTTCTCACTTCCCCTTTTGCGTGAACGCAACCTGCAGCGGTTTGTGCACGCGTGAGCTCACCCTCCTTTTCTCAGGTGTTTGATTGATCGTTTCAATTACGTGGCGCAGCGTGCATCAAACGTGGGAGTAAACTTCGCAGCGAGCAAATGGATCGTTTATTCGAAACATTTACGGATGAACGTCGCTATGGATGGCATATGAAGCAAATAAATCGCAAATAATCGCGCTTTATCCAAATACATGCTGATGTTTCGAACGTGTTGGATGAGAGCTATCCATAACTCTCGAGAGTTAACCGGACCGTGATTTCAAATGAAATGCCAGTCATTTTTGTTTTGCGCGACCGCGTTATTTTTAAATTTAAATTTACTGTTTAAATAATTTTTAAAAAAGCACGTAACTGTTATAGAAGGTTTGGAAGAAATGTTTAAACGTTAGTTTCCAGGAAGTAATGTCCACGGTCGTAAATTAACGTGTGCGTTGACCATGTCGTTACTTCCTCTCTTCGCACCTAAGACGCGCCTTAAGCGCATTTCACTTCATGTATTTAAGACTCAATATTTGTCGCGGTCGCAAGTACGTGTAAAATGTTCAACCCCGTGTATAATCAGCATACGAAAAAGCGTGTGCAACGCGAGATAAGTGAACGTAAATTCACGTCTAAGTAGAAATAACCAGCTCGTCAACCGCAACAATAAGGTAAGGATTCAGCGATTCAATGGTAATATCGAAATAATGTTTAAAAAAATTCAAACCAATTATCTCCTTTTTGCTATATTATTCTATTCTAAATATATCTTACAAAGAATTCTGCGTATTTAAAGAATCAAATCTCGTATTCTTTCATACATAAAACAGAAAACGATTCTTCCAAGTAGTAGCCAACTCTCAGTCAGTAGTTTATATATATATATATATATATATAACATTAATATAAACTATAGTATTATTTATATTGTGAGATCAAAACTTTTTTCAATATAATAGTTATGTTATCCAAATCTAAGCGGAGTATTGAAAGGTTAATAATGACTGCGTTTTCAGAACACGACACTGCGTGCTGAGGTGTCTAATGTATATGAAAAGAATGATATACGCTCTTCTACAAAGACGAAATAACTCAGACGTGGATCGGGGAAAGGATCGATGACGGCGCGCGGTAGAAAGGGCTCACAATCGCCATTGGTCCTTTTAGCCGCGGAAGCGTGGAGCCGAGTGGATTTACGGCGCGCGAGGATGAACATTGAGATTGGCACGGGTAGCCCGGAGACTAATGGACGCGCCATTCGCGAAAATGGCCGCCACACCGTGCCCGTAAACAGAAATAGCACGATATGGTTCGATAAGGACTATCATCAACGGTGGAAGTTGAAATCTGGAATCGTGCGACGCAAGCTATGTATATCATTTTTATTTCTATTTCAGAACTTTAGAAGTACTTTTTTCAGAATTAGTATTCATTCCAAATTATTGTCAAAAAATGTGTCTTCTCTTTTATGAATTAAATTATAAATTTTTCAAATATGAATATATTGTTGTCAAATCAATTGAGATTTTTGCGCAAGCAAAAATTTGGATATTTTATAACCACTGACTTGTTGAATATCGTTACTGATAAATTGTGAAGTTATATTCATGAAATACAACTGTCAGGATATAATAAAGAAATGTAACGTTCCTGAAGTACAGGTGAGAACCACTGCGCGTAGTTCGCTAAACGCGTGAAGAAGTGTTTTGCGGTACTTTTTCATGATGTTCTTCACGTGGCAGAAGCGTTTATCCATTGCTAAAGCGCGAACGGGAAAGAGAGAAGCGACCATCGTTTTACCGGCATAAAGTTTCGAGATAGAGGGGTCAAAGAAGGCGGTTGCTGCGCGAGCATCCTGCGCATTTGGAACCAATCGGAGATCCACCTTTTGATCCCAGATGAGCCCTTTTTCGCTGCGGCAAAATTCGCTAGTGCGCAAGCCGAATCGTCGAGCTCAAGCACTTTTTTGGAAAGAACCATAAAACGCGTGAATGCCTCGATAAAATAGGAGTATAGGAGATCCATCGTATGAATTTATAAAATTATCCTGTACCGATCGTATCGATAGAAAACACGATATCTTGATAGAAACAGTAATGAAACAGAAATGAGATTGATTAAAGAAGTAACAGTCTTTTTTATAATATATCATATCTGTTAATAAAATATATATATTTAAAGTGGCAAAACTTAAAAAAATGTAAGCTTTCGTTACATGTATAATTTTAATAAAGAAAATTCATAAATAATCATGAAACGATTGATACGGAAATTTTAAATTCTGCAAATATATTTTGTGTATTTAATTCTTAATATATTTATACATATTCGTTAATAAAGATACCATTATATATTAAATCGTGTTAATGAATTTCATGGATCATTCAATCGCATAAAAAGAAAACAAAATATTTTACAAATGATGTGATTAGAAAGCTATTAGTTCTAAAATAGGAAATCTCTGCTATAAAACGTCGTGATCCTGCGATCCCTACTCCGATCAGAAAGATATCAGGTAAGTGGGGGTTTTCCGAGGTGCGAGATATTCTTCCAACCTCACGGGATGACCTTCCCGTGGGAAGCTGGTGGGGATGTTGGGAGATCCTTCTCTGGACCACAGACACGTGCCACTTGTCATACTTTCGGAAGTACTTGCTTTCGGACGGTTCGAAGGAAGATTAGTACGAGATCGATCAAAGAAGAAACGTGTGTTAAACCGCTCACAGCTGACTCTCGTAGATATTTTTTGCCGTATAAAATATTTCGCCAATTAAAAAATCATTTGATTTCAATAAGCGACGGTAAATAATGATACGGCAGATTGTAATTGAGTCAAAAACCTGTCTAAATAATTTATATTAATAATTGTGAAATCTAAAGAAGAAAGAAACGTGAAAAAAATCATTGGATTACTTCAGTCGTTATTAAATGTAAAGTGCGCGGATTTAAATTATTATTGGAACGTATGCCGCCGTCCGAGTGAAAAAACGTCTATTGTAGTAGAGCTCGATGATTTTTCACAAGATGGAACTCTATCAAAACCGCGAAAAAATGAACGATGCCGTTTATGATCTTCGCCGAACACGATCGCTTCCGAGTGAGAACGAAGTCTTTTCAAACAACATCGAGAGAGGCTGCATATCACCGACTGTCAATCGAGAGTCTATCGAGTATGCATCCGATTCCAGCTGCGAGGGTTATAGGGAATTTCAGAAACAACAGATCGAAAGAAGAAATTCATCCCCAATTGCAGCGTCCAGTGCTTTCACTATCGATAGTATCCTCGGGAGAAATGAGAAAAGAGAAATCTCGAGAATAAACAATTCCGGTGATAAAGAGGAAGATCAAGACGATACGGATGACAGGATAGAGGGACACTTTGTCAAGCCAACAGCGATACCAGCCACACGTTCTGGTATGTAAAACATGTTGAGAAAATTAGATTATTACTCAAAACATTTTTTATTTGTATGAAAACTAACATAATTTTTAAAATAAAATAATTTTAATATTAACGAAGGATTCGATACTTCTAAAGATATGTCAAAAGTTTTAATTTAGAAGAATGTAACAAAACATAACATAAAATAAATTCCTGCAAATCCATAGACAAATAAAATAATTACGTAGATATAAATTATATTAGTCGATTTTTATTTGAAGATCGTCCTAAATAATGTCCTAAATAATGTCTTAATTAAAATACTTCTTAAGATGTCATAAGCCAATTACAGAGCCAATCACGGTCTTACATATAAGAATCAATTATGAATACCGTCCATTGCATATTGTCTTAAAATATTGACAATAAAAAACTTTAAGATCTGTTAGATATACACGGAAGCTTTTCAAATATTTATAAGAAAAGATTGTACGATTTAATAAATACGATGCAATACAATTTAATAGATATAGAAGGGAGTTTGTATACTCATGCGGGATTGCCGTACTCCGAAGGTGTACTATCTGATCCCTCGGCATATTCTGCAACATCACTCGCATCAGCTTCATTACTATATAGTAGCTGGTTTGCTCAAACAAAGCCTGGACAGCTGTTTGGTTTACAAGGTAAGATCAGACTTTTAGAATCTAATTTAGTTTCTACCAAAGTATATCGAATCTATTCGTCATAATCTTGTTTGAAAATACGACAGCTTTTCTTTAAATCCAATAGAGTGAATAGAGTTTATCTTTCGATAAAATTCAATGCATTGAAAAATAAAATCTATTACATAAAATCTGTCTGATTTTGGAAGTATTCAATGCTATCAGTTAATTATAAAAATATACAATAAATACGATAGAAAAATCTTCGCGATGCTAGAAAGCTTCTTCGTGTCTGAAGCACTAACGCTTTCGGAGAATCGCGACGACAAAGGACTCTAATTATTATCCACTCGTAATAACTTACCACCGTAATTCTATTTTCGTGCACAATACCGGGAGAGGTGTGAGATGGGCACTCTCTTTCTCGGCTTCAACGAATATTGGATATTATACGAGGCGCCTGCGATAACAGCTTTTCGACACGCGAGGCACACATCAGTGGCCCAGTTGTTGCATCCCCTTGTTTTTGACATGCTACTGGCGAAATATTAATATTTAACCGCGTAAAAATCGCACGTTAATCAAATTTTGCGATATTGTATTTTTCCTGGCACTCAACGCTACGCAAAATTTCGGAATTTTATCATTCTATTGAAAATTTCTTACAATTTCTATTACTCTTTTAAATACTGATTTATTTAATGTAAGTAATATAATTATAATATTACAGATTTGCCATATACTTTGTTAAATCTATAATAATCTATATAAAGCTTCTATATATAAAGCTATATAGAAAAATTGCCATGTATATGTAGGGAA